TTCTATTCTATTCTATTCTATTCTATTCTATTCTATTCTATTCTATTCTATTCTATTCTATTCTATTCTATTCTAATAAATTGTCCTAAAAGGAAAAAGAAAGTCTGTTTCTTGATTCAGTTGTGCATTTAATTGTCTATTGTCGTAGTTTCTGTGAAATATTTTATTTTATGATTTAAGTATTTATTTTATTTAGTCAATTTTAAGCCTCCATTTATTGCTATTTAATATTTATTTTGCTTTACCATTGACATATCAAACTGCAGTTCCGCTTATCAGCCAGCGGTGGCGCTAACAATCAACCCATCGGTAGAACAATATACAAGAAGAAGAAAAGCCATAGCAACGATCAAACAAAGATGGCTGCCTCGGTTTGTTCTAATGTGTTCGTTTTCTGTTTATTTATTTCTATTTTTTCAAGTAGCTCCTCTGAAAACATGTCGATGGGCGCCGATAACAGCTCAGAGCTGAACTCTACGTCCACTTTAACGGACATTTATCCAACAACAGAGCCGGAAACCAGCCCGACTGAGAGCTCCTACGGCCCCGCAGAGCAGCCCGCTGTAGCCGCGGACCCGCTGCCTCTCTCCGGTCACCTCCCCTCTGCGCAGGCCGGCGGTAAGCTGTCCCTCTGCGGCTCTGAGCTCTGTTTATTCCCTGGATTGCTGATACCCGTTGGAAGTACAGTACGGGGCTGGAGTGAAGCCACCGGCCGCCATATTGGTACTCCCTAGTTAGACCAGTCAGAATATAAACAACCTGCGCTGCTGCAGCATCAAACAACCATGATGTTCTCATTTTCAGAGAGACTTAGACTTTTAAAATAAAGATAAATTCATCACTTTCATTCATAGCATCAGTAAATTAACTTTAACTTAGAATAAATAAATAAGCCCATCACATTGCATAGTTATTATGACGTCAATGAAGTCTATAAACATGTAGGCTAATATAACAGATTATACAAATCCATCACAATTAAATGAATGTGTTAATGGAGGATAACAATGCAGATAGACCGAAATGCTAAATCGATGATGTTCATGTGATATACATGGATTGATTACATTGTTATGGTAATTACATAGTACATATAATTTAAAAACTTTACATCCAGACTGAATTACCAGTAGGCCTACATGTTTGTTAATGCTAATGTTATTTTCCTATTTGCAGATTATGCATGAATGATGTCATATTCTTTATACTGTGTCTGTGCATTAGCCTTTAAAAATGTTTGAGTTGTTTTTCTTTCATCAATATAACCTGCAATTAATTTCAGCTCATTATTTTTCAAATGAGAAATACACCAAACATAACAAATCAAAACAGCATCATCCACTTAATAAATAATTACTACATTGATGTTTCACAGTGAATTACTTTCTATTTCCTCTTCTTTCTATTTTCTAACATTAAACACAATGTCAATGGCTAATTCAGTCAATGTCTTCCAGTCAGTCCCAGATAGCCAGACTAATGTTACGCTACAGACTATACTACAGGATCCATCCGCTATAGATG